ATTATAGAAGACCTAACCAGGTTCTGCTCTGTCTAAGACCTCTCTGCATGCTACACTGAAGTTTAGTATTAAAGCCTGGTCTAGGGTCCACACTGGCCTGTGACTGAGCTATAAAGGATTAGCAGCATACTGATAAGCTATCCCCTGCTCTCCTACCCTCGGGAAGGCTTTCAGTGTAGAGCAATGCCGTTGAATCTGAATGATTTTCACTGCCCCTTCCGCTCGCAGTATGAGTAGGGCTCTGCAGGGTATTGTAGAAGGCCTGGCTCTACCTAAGACCTCTCTGCGTACTACACTGCAGTTTAGTAATTAAGCCTGGTCTAAGGTCTGCCCTGGCCTGTGAATGAGCAATAAAGGATTAGCAGCATACTGATAAAGCTATCCCTCTGCTCTCTGGAGAGCACAGTGCAATGCTATAGACACTGATTGGCTCCCCCTGCCCCTTTCTCTTCCAGTCTGAGTGCGGCTGTGTTAGGGTATTATAGAAGACTTGTCCAGGTCCCATTCTACCTTAGACTCCTTTTTCCTATTATGTTGCAGTTTACCAATAAAGTCTGGTCTAGGGTCTGCCCAGCCTATGACTGGGCATTAAAGGATTAGCAGCATACTGATGAAGCTATCCCTCTGCACTCTGCTCCTTAGATGGAGAGCAGTGTTATAAGACAGATATTAGGGAAGGTTCAAGTACTTTTGCCAACTGTATGTAAAAATGTCTACTGATTTTTACTCAAATGCACAAAGTGATCAGATGGTGATTTTTCTCATACCTGCCTGGACTTCAGCTTTAAACCTTAACCTTACCTTTCCTAGCCAGCAAAGAAGAATGGTAGAGGGGACACAAACACAACATAACACCACTTTTCAGTTACTTCAGACCAGAAACAGCAGTATAGTAATGATCCTGCAGCTGCAATGTCCCTTGAATAGTGGCTATAAGAAGCCCTCTCCCATGCATTCTGTGTGCACTTTGTTTATTAGGATGGACGGGATTTAGGACTCTGGTTTCCCAGCCGTGTGGTGATGGAGCTTTCCTGGAAAGGTCATCACTCTTCTGATTACACAATGCGTACTGTGCACAAGCAGCACTGACGGTAACAAGTTCACTGTCCGACTTGGCCAGATCAGTAATTGGCTCCACCAATTAAGCATTGGAAGGATGGAGAATAGGTATAGTAATTAGAGCACGAGTCTCCCAAACCTGATATGTCAAGGGAATACATGAAGAATTCATTAGAAGGACTGTGACGTTCTAGCTTGCTGTCATCCTCAATGAAGATAATTTTAAATGGAAGGGAAGGTTTTCAATGGCTTCTCACTCTACAAACCTAATTCTGTGATAGTCTCTTAAAGGCGTCCTCCAGTCACATATGAATATTTTGCATTTATAAGAAATTTGAGTATGTGGTTAATATTTTCCTAAATATTGAGACATTGGAGATTGCTATATATGCAGTGTTTATTGGTGATGTGTTGTTTGGACTGTGTCTATGGAATTTTTATATATTTTTATCCAATAAAAAACTTTGGATATTGCTGTTCATTAGGTAAATGCCGAGTGATTTATGCAAAATTGATTTAGCTGCAAAATTACCAATTTCACTGTCAGGCAGGTTTTGATGAAGCGGAAACTCTCAATTTTGCTTATTGCTTGGGTGAAATTTGCTGGAAAAAAACTTTTTAGTTTATTTTATGTAGTGTTTTTATTTTTTCCCTTTTTTGTGTATTTGATCATTTTTACAGTGTTCATTTTAATTTTAATTTTTTTTGTCTTTACTGGGTTTTTTTTTGTTGCTTTCTGTAGAAAAATGTAAAACTACGCAAACGAGGGACTTTTTTTTGGCCAAGAACAGGTCCAGTGTTGTGAATAGATAGCTAGGTTCACACCTAAGCGACTGAGCTGGTGAGCTGTTTTCGTGCGGTAGTCGCGCGTTTCTGTTTGCACGATTTTGCTTTGAAAACCTTGCGGTTGTGTCACAGTTTTCAATGCATAGAGATGTCTACGAGACCCAAACTCTGCCCGAAAATTGCTCCTGTACCTTTTTACTTGACAGGCGATATCTACCGCGCGACAAATCGCAAAGGTGTAAACAGCTTCCATAGACTTGAATGCAAATCTCTAAATCCGCAAATAAATCGCCTAGGTGTTAACCTGGCCGAAGGTTCTGTGACCTTCATATACCGCTCATTGCAGCCATAAAGCCATAAAAACCAACTAAAAGTTGGTTAAGAATTAAAGGAGAACTATGGGGTTAAGGCTTTTCCCCATAGTTCTCAGGGTAACGGGAGGACACAAACTAGCGTCCTCCCGTCACCCTAGGCTCAGTATACCGCAAGCTGTAGCTCGCAGTATACTGAGACGCCGCAGCTGAAGCGGATCCTGACAATTGTGCCTGGATCCTGCGTGACTGACAGCTTGCTCAGCCTATCTAGAGGCAGAGCCAGCTGTACCCGCCCCCTCCCCCGTCCGTTCCGCCAGTCAGCGATGGCGGATCGAAGCGGGGGGAATCCAGCCCCTCCCCTGTCACGGCAGAGAGCCGTGACAGGATCGAGAGGTGAGCGAACACCGCTATGTGTTCGCTCACCTCCCGATCTACTGAGCCGACCTGTGAAAGTTTCATTGTCACAGGTTGGCTAGAACTATGAGGCGAGTGAAAAGCACTCACCTCATAGTTCTCCTTTAAACCAAAACCTTTTTTATTTTTTTTTAATAGAGTAAGGGAGTGCATGTCGTCTGTATCCCATTGGGAAGATTTCTCTTCACTTCCTATCTGATAGCCATAACAGGAAGTGAGAGGAGATTTCCCACAGTTAGGGATATCACTGGTGGTCAGCAGGGTCACCAGAACTAGTGTCCCCATTGGAAGATATACCATCTATTCCTGTGCTAGTGGCAGCCCAAAATTTCAGATTTTCTTGGTCACTGAGAAAGATAGAGAGAGTGAATCTCCCTAATGGGAGCACAGACAGCAATAAAAACCTGACCGGTGTTTTAACCCAAGGTGAAGATGAGATAATCACCAGCACACACAAAGTAGGGCCATCAATCCTTGTTCAATTTGTTAAGTCGTCATCACACTTTGTCATAAAACGCCAACATTTCGGGGACACGCAGGGCCCCATCTTCAGGGAGACAGAGTGACCAATAAATTGAACAAGGATTGATTATCCTACTTCGTGTGTGCTGGTGATGATCTCATCTTCACCTTGGAATTTCTACGCGTCGCCATCTGTGTCATCACTATGAGCACCACTATCTTGCAAGGTCACAAGCATGTGTGGAGTCCAGGTGACTCAGGACACAGGTGTTCTAACCCCTCTCCACTCTATCCAAAATTAAAAAATGTTTTGGCTTCAGTTTCACAAGGCCGTGACACAAACTGCTTTTTTCTGCTCTACACCTCTTGGTCTAGGCTTTATGGCTAAGACCAGGGTTAATTTGTTTGTATACTGGGCTTTAGGGCCTAGCCATAATCTAATAAAGTGCAAGATAATTATTATTATAATACAGGATATATATAGCGCCAACAATTTGTGCAGCGCTTTACAATATAAGGAAGACATTACAATCACAATACAATTCAAGACAAGGAGGAGGGCCCACATTCTAAAATAGAGGCATCCAGTGATACATGAGGAGGTAGCTGTGTTTGGATGAATTGTTTGAGCATGTGATGGTTCAGTGGTTAGGTTGAGGGGGGATATTTGGGACTTTGGCACTTATCTATTTTTCTCACTATGTATGTGCACTTTCACTTTTTATATGTCCGCAGAATGGAGGGTGTGGGTCTTCAAGTCTACCCTGAAGTCTAGGGGGGAGGATGTGCGGCCACAAGGTTCCTTTGTCCCCTGAAGCCAGGGGTTTCTCTTTGGGAGAGCCCCAAACCAAGTACTTCATGGTCGGCTTTGGCTGGCCGAGTCCATACAGGGCAGCGTATTCTGTGGTTCATGCCCCACCCTCTGTGTGAAAAAATTCCTACCTAGGAACCCTGTAGGAGCCCTGCTTAATCTCACTTTATTGATTTTTTTTTTTAATGCTGACCGTAAAGGAGCATTATAGTTCTGGAATTGCAGTTCTGACTTAGCATTGATGAATTGAATCACCAAGCAAGCAGGTATATCACTTATTTATTCATCTATTACACATAACATGCAAACTCCATGTAGGTGGTGTCCTGGTTGGAATTTAAACCAAGGGCCCCAGTGCTGCAATACAGGAATGCTAACCACTAATTGAAAGATATCTCTGCAGTGTTGTGTCTCTGTGAACTGTCACTTTCTTGCACTCGGGGGCCCCAATCAGTTGTTGGTTATGAGGAATCTGCTGCAGAGGCATGAGGCTATGAGCTCTTTAGGAAGATGGCAGTAGGATGGAACTGGAAATTCTAATTGTGATATGTAGCCACAGGGACCCTGGAAAGTTTAAAAACAACAAAATCCATCATGTGATTTATCTTGCCACCAACCATACAGACTTTTAAAGGTTAACGGCATGGACTTGCTAACTTTAGCACAGCTGCAGCGATTCCTGGTTGACATTAAAGCCCTCGTTCACACCTGACCGTTTTGTAGCGCGTTCTATGCTCGACGAACGCTATACAAAACGGTCAAAAAAATAAATTGCATTGTAGTCAATGGTCTCGTTCCCACCTTGGCGTATTTCCGCCCGTCCCTAACGCCCTACAAAACGGCCCACGCCTGAAAAGGTACATGTACTACTTTGGGCCGTTTTGTAGGGCGTTTTCCATTGGAATACAGCCAAGTAGCCTTCGGAATCGCGTGACTTTTTTACCGCGAATCGCGGTAAAAAAGCCGTGCGACGGTCGCGCGACAGACGTGCTCTTGCAATACGCCTAGGTGTGAACGAGGGCTACAGTTTACTGATTGATATGACTTGTTGCCTGGAGCTGCTTTTTAATTCATGTGGCTGATGGATGATTTGCTACAAGATGTATTACTTTCCAATCTCTTAACAGCACGTTGTTCTGTTTTTTCCCCTTTAGGAAGAATCTCGCATCCTTCGAGTTAAAATTGTGTCTGGTATTGATCTGGCAAAGAAAGATATCTTTGGAGCAAGGTAATTGTCAGAATTTATTTATACTCTGTGGATCACGTTTCATGTCTATCTAATTATGTCTGTCATTCTGTCTTATTAAAACGGCGGATTCTGCAGGAAAAATGTAATTCCGCTTGCAGTGGGCCCCCTGCGCACTGGGACTTGTGGCAGCGGGTTTTCTGGCTCCTGCACGCAGGTGATGGGAAGAACCCATAGCGTGTGTATCGAATTTGTCATCTCCGTTCACCCTAAAGTAGAAGTTTCTTGTGTAAGCCTGCCTGTTACTACACTCGCTGCAAGGGCTGATTGAAAGTCAATAGGGCAATGTCTATTGTCTTAGGAGATGACATTCAGCACCCTTGTGGCCACACTCCGGGCCGGCCTTGAAGGCTTGTATTTAAAAATGGAAATAGGGGTTACAGTATTTGCCCAAACCTGCTAAAGCGGAGGTTCTTTATGGACCATTAACACTGTTGGTTCAGTGTGTTGTGGTGCTATTCATTTTCAGTGGCACCCCCAATGCATTGCAGCACACTCTCCTTCCCCCCCTCCTTCCCTCCCTCCCTCCTTCCCTCCCTCCCTTCCTTCCCTCCCTCTCTTCCTTAGGCCAGGGCATAATTACCATCTCTAAATGTTCCCTATAACATCCTTTCTCAACCAGGGTGCCTTCTGGCTTCCTGGGGGGAGGAGTGGGAACTGAGGACTGGGTGTGTAAAGGGAACACCGGATGAGAAGGGCATTACTGGAGTGAAGGGGAGCTTGTGATATGAAAAGGGGGGACTCTGATGTGAAGAGAGGTGGATCTGATGTAATTGGGGCTCCTAATGTAAAGAGGAACTTCTGAGGACTGGATGTAAAGGGAACACCGGATGAGAAAGGGGCCGCTGAAGTTAGGGGAGCTTGTGATATGAAAATGGGTGAATCTGATGTGAAAGGAGGTGGCTCTGATGTGAATGGGAGCTTCTGATATGAAGGGGGGCTCCTCATGTAAAGTGGGACTTTGATGCGTAAGGGGAGATTTTGATATGAAAGGTGAAGGCTCTGATGTGACGGGGGGCTCCAAATGCAAAAAGTCTGGCTCCTGCTTTGAAAGGAGGACTTTGATGTGAAAATGGGGGACCCTGATGTTAAGGGTGATCCTAATGCAAAGGGGGGCTCTTGATAGGAAGGGGACTCTGATGTGAAAGCGGAGGGGCTCTGATGTGAAGGGGGGCTTCTAATGCAAAGAGTGGCTCCCAATTTGAAGGGGAGACTTTGATGTGAAAGGGGCAATCCCACTTTTTTGTGTTTTTTGCATGGTGTTCCCCTCCTAAAATCCATACCAGAGCCTATTTCTGATAAGGATCTCGTGTAGATTTTGGAAGAGCCACACATTTTTTACCATTTATGTTTTTTACATTTTAGACTGAGTTGCTTCAAGATTTTGCATACTTTTAAAGGTGCCAAGACTGAAAAAAAAAAGTTGAGAAACGTTCCTCTATGGCTCCTCATAGCAAACCTCTCCGGTCCACACATCTTGCATTGCAATCTATCAAGCAAATAGTGCTCACTGATACTGTATATACCCGTATTTTTCCGTCTATAAGACGCCCCCATGTATAGGACGCCCCCCACTTTTCTTACCCAAAATTCAGAAATCAATATTTTCCATGCTCTTTTGCATAACTAATTACCTCCAGTTTAAATTTTGCAGAGTAAGACAGCCGCTTCCTGGTTATGGGCTCAGAATGCTCCGACATTACTGCTCCCTGTTGCATCTGGGCACTGGCTACAGGCTCTCCGCAGCATCAGCTGATGTCAGGTACATAAGGATCATGATTGGAGGAAACCTGTTAGCTTGTCTCTGCAATCGGAAGTTTCACTCGTGAGGCTAGTTTGCAGAGGTATCGGCAGTTTCGCAACCACGGTTCTCCTCACGGCCCCCCGTGTATAAGACGCCCCTCCATTTTTAGGTAAATATTTTTATGAAAAAGTATAGTCTTATACACGGAAAAATACAGTATCTTCTGATGAGGAGCTTGGCTTAAAGGATTGCTCCTTGCTAGCATACCGGCTTTTTGAAGATTGCCTGAGTCCCTCGTAAAGACATTGGGCCTTATTTATATTGATTCATCCTTTTGTCTTGGACAATATCTCATTTACCAGCACGGAGACTGTAACTGAGCGGCACTGCTCCCACAGCCTTGCTGGTGTTTCTTGTAGATTAACAGGCAATGTTTCTACTCCATCACCTCCTATTATAGTCAGAATAATTATGTCCTGACACATTCATGGCCTCTCCTCTAGAACCGGCCATTACACATTTTCAGGCTCGCTGTCCTTCCCATTGGCAGCACACAGAGATCAGAAATAGTTTTTACTTTCCTATTATTTCTCTTTCATGAGGAATCTGAACTATTATAATACTTAATATTGCCATTAAAACCGCTAATATTTCCTCTTTGCTAATGACTAGATAATGGCTGAAGAATTAGATGTAGCTGAAAAACGACCAGAGCTCTGTGTTTGAAGATGTGGCCAGGCTTATTTACTTCTGTGCGCAGCAAAGTAATCTGCATGAATTGTTAATAACCTCCTTTTATAAAATTCATGTTCTAAATAAAGGCATATATTATTATATGCACGTTCTATTAAAGGCATATACAATATAAATAAAGGCATACAGGCAGTGTTAGAACTTTGCAGCTTGCTTGCTTCTGACAGTCTCTGTATAATAAAGCTGGAATGTATTCTGATAGGAGGAGAAAGCAGTGATAGAGACATGGGCTTACCACTGTACTATTTCCCCTTTCACTGTCCAGTCACACATTGGGGGCAGGTTCAGAATGACCTGGGCTGAACCAAGTGCATCATTCTTAATAAGGGTCTGGTTTGGATTTAGAGGGAGATCCAAGGCAAAATAAAATCCATACTTGACTCTTATCCAGACATGCAGCTTGACTGGCCTTAGCTTGGCTATTGCCTATCATGATTAATGACACCCTGATGATCCACCAACAAGGCCCTTCTCAAAATCCATACTAGACTCTTATCCAAACATACAGCTTGGCCACTCCTGTACCATACCAGGCCACACACTCTTAACATGGGGAGGAGGCCCATGTTGACTCAGTGTATGTGGGTGTCTACGGGAGGGAGGGCTTATCAGAAAATGGAAGCACACTTTTTAATAAGGGAGCCCCACCAATATCCACCTCCCCCCCATGTGAATGAGTAAGTAAAACATTTAAGTAAAATTAAGTTTGACTGCAGATGACCTCCTGAAATCATTGTTCTTACCCTAAGAAGTTTTTATTGGATGATTGTCCTTTCCAGAGATGCCCACTATTGGATGATGGCAATTTCCCAGGGGAGCACGTGATTGGATGATCGCCCTTTAACCAGGGAGACCGGTTATTGGATGATTGTGCTTTCCCAGGGAGGCTTGTTATTGGATGCTTGTCTTTTCCCAGGGAGGCTAGTGATTGGACGATTGTCGTTTTCCAACGAGTCCCTAAAAATAGATTGTGGCTTACAGATCCGGAGTGCGGCTTTCTTCTCATTTGTATTAATTCGCAGTAAATCATTATAGTACTGTCGCTTCATTATTTTATTATCAGTATTTAAAAAAAAAAAAAGTCTTAAAGGATATGTTCACTTTCATATTCTGATCAATAGGCCCCCCATGCCCCCCTCACTTGCCATCACAGAATTTTCAGTGAAAACACAAGCCTCACATAGGCATGCTTCCTATTGGTTGAGGATGTCTGGGAAGGCGAGGGGACTCTGGGTGGGTGTTTCCTGACCCAACCTGTGCTTCCACAGTGCTGAAGGTCCAGGACCCGTGTGATAGGGGCATTGTGATCATAAGGCAACATAATTAATATAGCTATTCTAACAGCAACACAGTCATAATTATAAAACAAAGGAAGCGCTAACATTAAAATACAACTGAAGTCCAACCTTTTTTTTTTCTAACGTTCAGATAGAGTGGAGAGCAATCGGAACCCCCTGTCGGGTTTTTATTGCTGTCTGTGTCCCCTTTTAGGGAGATTCACCCAATCTTTTTGTCCAGGTGACTTTATGCATTGAAAGTGAAAGAAAATCTTCAATTTTGGGTTGTCACCAAAACAGGACTAGGTGTGAAATCTTCCAATAGTTTTACTAGTTCTGGTGACCCACTTTGGAGGGATTTCCTCTCACTTCCAGCTGGGGCTATCAGACAAAAAAAATTGACATATGGCAAAGAAACCTGGCCAGGGTTATAAACCCTCCATTACTCTATCCTATACTAAAAAAAGTTTTGGCTTAATTTCTACTTTAATATAATGTGTGCCTGGGGAACCCAGACTCAAAGCACACCATGGGGTCTTTTGGAGGCTCTTCTATAGGGTCTTCCCATTCGGATGCAGAAGATTCTGAGGATTATGATGTGGAGCCAACCTGCTCTTTAAATTCAATCCTTTATTATCTACAGGGGCTTCTGCGCTCGATTAGTCTAAGATAAACTGGGCGTTAGCCCTCGTTCACACCTGAACGTTTTGTAGCGCGTTCTACGCTCGCGGAACGCTCTACAAAACGCTAAAAAATATAGATCTCATTGTTTTCAATGGTCTTGTTCCCACCTTGGCGTATTTCCGCCTGTGCCTAATGCACTACAAAACGGCCCACGCCTAAAAAGGTACATGTACTACTTTGGGCCGTTTTGTTGCGCGTTTCCATTGGGATACAGCCAAGTAGCCTTCGGAAACGTGCGTTTGTCGCGCAACTTTTTTTACCGCGAATCGCTGTGAAAAAACGTGCGACGGTCGCGCATATGCAATACGCCTAGGTGTGAACGAGACCTTACTCCTTACAGCTGCTCACTTAAATTGGCTGCCTGAGCCTGCATTAATATCATCCAAATATGTGAAGCGGCGCTATCACCCAACAAGTAAACAAATAATATGTGCAAAAACAAATATTATAGTGAATAATACTACTGTGAGAGAAAAAAAACCCCATATATATATATATATATATATCATATTTTTCAAATATTT